CGTCCGCGTGGAATTTAACTTCTTATATTTTAGAAAAATAAAGTGAAATTCCACACGGACGAAATCCCGTGTACAGCTAGTCATCAATAAAAAAACACGTTGGTATCTCTAATATATTATACAGTAGCTGTTCCCGCGACTTCGTCCACGTGGTTTTTAACTTTATTTTTCTAAAATAAAAGTAGCCTAAGTTACTCCTTATTACATCAGCTACCTGCCAAAAAAAGTCCCGTCAAAATCGATCCAGCCATTACAGAGATTAGCTGGAACAAACAGACAGACGGACAAAAATTGTAAAATATGTTATTTTGGTGTATGTACCGTATTTATATTCATATGCAAGTAGTAAAAAACGGTTATTTCAATATTACAAACAACAGGCTTCAACATTCTCAAGTACCACAAAAAAGATGTTTTTTCTATCAAATAAACCGTTTTTATTAAAAACAAGCTGTTCCCGCGACTTCGTCCGCGTGGAATTTAACTTTATTTTTCTAAAATAAAAGTAACCTAAGTTACTCCTTATAAATCAGCTACCTGCCAAAAAAAGTACCGTCAAAATCGGTCCAGCCATTTCAGAGATTAGCCGGAACAAACAGACCGACAGACAGACAGACAAAAATTATAAAAATTATTATTTTGGTATATGTACCTTATATATATTCATATGCATGTAGTAAAAAACGGTTATTTCAGTATTACAAACAGACACTCCAATTTTATTTATATGTATAGATGTATAGATTATTATTTATTTATTTATTTATTCATCCAAAATAATACAAATTGTGTAGGATAACGTAATAGTAACATTACAGTAAAATTTTGTCAACAACATAATAGCAACTTAAATATTAAATCTCGGTATATCTATAGACTAGCTGGCCCCAGCGACTTCGTCCGCGTGAAATTTTATTTTATTTTTCTAAAATAACAGTAGCGTAAGTTACTCCTTATTACATCAGCTACTTGCCAAAAAAAAGTCCCGTCAAAATCGGTCCAGCTATTTCAGAGATTAGCCGGAACAAACAGACGGACAGACAAAACTTGTAAAATATGTTATTTTGGTGTATGTACCGTATTTATATTCATATGCAGGTAGTAAAAAACGGTTATTTCAATATTACAAACAGACACTCCAATTTTATTTACATGTATAGATGTATAGATTAAAAAAAAAGTAACAGCATAAGGCTAGTCGTATGCCTAATATATATAATAATGTAATAAATTCATTTAAACAGAAATTGCGGGAACATTATTTAAATTTGTAACTTTTTTACTGTCCTCCTTTTTTCACATCTTTCTGTTATATCCCTATAGTTCTCTCTATATTTTCTGTTTTTCTTACTTTCAATTTGAGACTGTACTTATAATTTGATTATCGGATCATTATGTATTTATTTATACATTTATGGGTTATATATTTATGTATGTATATTGTTATTTTTTTATAGAAATGTATATTTTGCTTATCTTTATTATCTTTATAAATCTTTTTTTGACATTTCTTATTTATATTAGTGCACCGCCAATAATCTTTCGCTGCACCACTCATGGTTGCCTGGTAAATAACGCGGCAAGATATTAAGTCCGCCACATGTACAAATTTTTTTGTGCATTAAAGTTAAATAAATAAAAAAAATACAATACTGTTTAATGAAAATGCGTATTGTCTAGTGCTTTGAGATGTATCAAAATAAGGTCAACAAAAAGTCCGTGATGGTATATGTCTATCTCTCAAGGATAACCAACAATAACCATTTTTTATCTTTTACATTTTACGGGAATTTTTTTTATCGTATGTTTCCCTTAAAATCATGTAAACTATGCTATTATGTCATAATCTAAAGAAATAATAATATTTTATAGTGAAATATCCACTATAAAATACCAAAAAGTAGCAATGTAATTCGTTACGCGCGAATCAGGTGTTATAAGGTCAAAGGTCGGTGCACCCCGCGTATTTGATAAATCTAAAGCTTCTCTGGATGTCTTTAAGAGAAAATGGCAGTATGTACGTGTATATGTCACACAAGTCCTTAAGTGATAAGTTTTTCAAATGTACAATATAGAATAAATATTTTTAAGTACAGTACTTACGTACATTAATATAATACCTACTTTTTACTTGTATCTATTGTTATCAAAATTAAATTATAAGTTCTTAACTTGACCACGACTATGTGACCCTCTCTTGGCGCCAAAACGAGTGAAAAAATGAACAGCATACGACGACGACGCAGTACCTATAGAGTGGAGCAACTGCTTATTCAGTTTTATTCAACTATTTAGTCCCTCCACCGTTACAATGAATGGAGGCGGATATTACAATGTACGTAGCATTGCGAATATAAAATATCTAGATTAGGTATAATAAATTCATAATTCATAGGCCGTTACGGTATCAGAGCCAAAAAGTCTTCTTTCTTTCTTTATGTACTGTTAGATGCGACAGCGACTTTGTTTTTATATTACTATGTAACGATTGATATACCTAAAATAAATAAAATATCTGAGGTTTGGACAAAAATTCAAAAGGTACTTTATTTTGAAAAAGTATTTTGAAAATACCTATTTTGCATTTAGTATTTGAAATACAAAAACAAAACTATTATTGTTTTTAGAGTGACATTTCTATGAATTCACTGTCGATAGCGAGCGGTGGGATGGAAAAAGATAACCGTTTATAAATATATAATAAATAGCCCTGGACAATTAACACAGACTGATACTGAACTGATATAGATATTTTTATTTTGTAAATACATATATAATATACATATAAAACACCGAGACCGATGAAAACAATCGATGACCGATGAGTACAATTGTTTGCACCGTGCGAGAAATCGAACCCGCGACCATCGGATGTAAAGCGGTGTGACCACCGAGGCAGTCGAAATATATAAATAATCTTATGAATTTAATTTATTCTAATTTGTTTGTGTGCGCGGGGTGCGGTGTACGGTGCTCCCCCTTGCCTCCACCGTTGCTGGAGCTTGCATGTATGGAGCATTGCGAATATAAAATATCTAGATTAGTAAATTCATAATTGATAGACCGTTACGGTATCTATATATATTCGGATTAAAATAAGTATCGCAGTAAGGACCAGTATATAAAGTGATCAACATAATTAATTGATTTTTGAAATATATATACAGAGCCAAAAAGTCTTTGTGTATTCAAAAAATATCTAATTTGTTTGTGTGCGCGGGGTGCGGTGTACGGTGCAGGGGGGACCCTGCCTCCACCGTTGCTGGAGCTTGCATGTATGGAGCATTGCGAATATAAAATATCTACATTAGTAAATTAATAAATTCATAATTGATAGACCGTTACGGTATCTATATATATTCGGATGTAAATAAGTATCGCAGTAAGGACGAGTATATAAAGTGATCAACATAATTAATTGATTTTTGGAATATATTCAGAGCCAAAAAGTCTTTGTGTATACCAAAAATTTAGCCGTTCGGAGCCATTCAGTCACGAATTATTAGTAAAAAAAGTGTCGAGTATATCGTACTATCGACGAATATATATGGCCGCATCGCAAAATAGAATGCGACGTTGCCATACCGCCTGAGATATACGGGATAGAGGTCAAGTTATTCAGTGCAAAAGGTGGAATCAGCAAGTGTTTAGGTTGTGGCGTGATCAACAAAGTGCCCAAAGAGGTGTTTATATATATATATATATATATATATATATATATATATATATTTTAATAATAGAACATTAATAATGTTCAAAATTATAATTTTATTTAATTATGGTCGAATTTCAAACACATTGGAGACCACTAGTATTAAAGTAATACATTTACTTCAATATGTATTTAAAATTAACTTGCTCTAGCAATAATAATTTGCTCTGGCTGGTGCTCTTCAGCGAGACAACCTTAAAATAGGATGGTCACGTTAGCTATACAAGATGTGTGCCAAAGATTATACATACGAAATAATAATGTATATATACACTTATCAAAAATTGTCTACTACTTACAATATTTGTAGTCGCCTGCTTTGTATGTACACCAATTGTCTACTTAAAATATTTATCGTAAGGTAGAAAAACCTTGTTGTTGGCAACTGGTAAATTGTAAACAAGTTATGTATGAGACAGTAACAAAGGTGTCATTCGTAAATCACAACACAGGAACTTCATAATTTTGAACACCCCACCCTCTTCTACTGTACCTCTCACAGCTGCTAACATTTATAAATCTGCCCATATGATGTGAAGTCACATACTTTACAATTTAAATGAAGAATTAGAATTTTTCAATAAAAAGCAAGTGTTCTCGTAATGTTCACGTCGTCGATCCTATCCTTTAGTATTGTCGTGTGAGATAGTTTTTGAATGACCCTAAACATCAGAGTGCCATATGCAACGTAAGCTCTCAATATCTACTATACTGATGTCGCCACAAATTTGTCGATATCCATTTTGTGATAATATATTCATAATAGTTTTAAGTACTTATCAAGATATTTGTAAATTTAATTTTTGTAATTCTATTATTGTTTTCGAATAAAGTTTTTAAATATATCTGTTATTTAATTTTAGGAAAAGTTAAATGTAGGGTATAAATAACAAAAACAATGTTTATGTTCCTGAAAATTTAATGACTTTAATAGAAGAATAACTAAATTAAAACAGCAATGATAGAAGAAAATCATTCATAATTAACATCATCTTTTCTTTATTACGTTGAAGCAAAAAGACCAAATTAATCAATGACCTAACAAAATATACAACAAAAGTCATTAAATAATTAAGTCCAACCAATAAGTTAGTCTATCGTGGACGTCGACCGAAGCAATACATAGGTTCATGTCTCAACTTCAACCACTAAAATGAACAAGTTACATAATACAACTTACAATTTTGAATAATATTGTGATTAAAAGAAAAAAAAGCTAAATAATTCTTTCCTACTTACATAATGTGTAATAATATAAAGTGTCGACTACTTATAATATTTATAACTATTCATATGCTTACTTTAAATTTTCACACAAAGAGCGGAGAGAGGGAGAGCGAACGAGCCGTTTTCGCGAACCGCATGTGCACGCGAGCACACGAGCACACGAGCACACGAGCACACGAGCACACGAGCACACGAGCACGCAAGCGCGCGAGCACACGAGCACGGCCGCGGACACGGCCCGCCCGCTCCGGCCGCACGCTCACCTTATGCCGATACACACCACAATCTCTCTAAACACTAGGGTCTCTTATGCCGAATGTTAGACAAATAAGAAAGCGACGACTTCCCAAACCAAAATTACAGAACTAACGATTTGAAGATGATGTTAATCCATAGTCCAGCGTGTGCACATACGCGCAGGTACCGGCCGACCGTTCGCTGCTCAGGCCGCACTCGCGAACAAATAGTTCTGTAGCACAGTAACGCCACCGTTCACAGTCCCACTAACGCATATCATGTATCACGTATTAAATGTCCTTTTAAAACACGAGTCAAGTGGGCAGCGTAACTTGTGTACGACGTACATGTTGGCAAACAAGACGCAGGTGCGCGGGGCGGCCGCCCGAACACGGCCACTCGTTGAGCTTCAGCGTACAATTGTTATCTCGACGAGTCAAGCACGCCATGCTGTCCGAGAGTAATAACAATGTAGCCTTTTTTGGAGTTTTAATTTTTTACAATATATATCTTTCTATAATTAATTATATCTAATATTTACAATGGAGGTGAATGGACAATATTCAAACTCTACTTATTATCTCAAAAATTAATCTGAAATTCCTACCCAAAACGAACATATCTACAACTTTTAATAAAAATTTAAAAGGAAAACTCGTCACAAATAAATCTAAATATAAGAGATCGAGTTTGCGTTTCCGATTTTATAACACTAGAACAACGATACGCAAAAATATATCTGTATCCCAAAGAAGACTGTTAGACTTCCGGCAATTGTCAAGTGAACTAGATACGTTTAAATCGTAGCTCGTCATAATGAAAACAACAAAAGCAAATAAGAAACACAAACTCGATCCAATATTTATTTAGAGTAAATCATAAAAGGTATATATAATGCGGTGCGGGAGGGGCGTGGGGGGGAGTGGGCGGGAGCTCATATCTTGTGTATCTTCTGGGAGACGACGACGGGGTTGTTGCGGCGGATCTCCTGCGCGCCGAGCTCCCGGTAGTCGAAGGAGCACTCGTGCTTGTCACTGTACCGGTGCACCGCGCAGAACAGCCCCCCGCAGCGGCACTCGAACCCTGCACAACCACACGCAAACGTCACACGCGACACGCCAACAAGCAATACGGCTACATACATTAATTAATTTTGTACGATACTTGCACAACAGTAGCGCATTTAGAACTAAGCCTATAGTTCTAATCTATGTATACTCGCATAGCCTATAGAACTATAGGCATGCATTTATATTTTATCCAAACAGCCAAAGACAACCACACGAAAATCACCTTTTCGTATACCTGAGTAACCCAACCATCTAGGTTTTAAATTCATTAGGAATTCGAAAAAAATGAGACCCTAATAGCACCTCTTTCATAATATCTATTTGCGACGTTAACCACTTAACACAAAGTAGGCCGTGGCCATGTTGTATTTAAAATAGTGTATAAAAACAATATAATAATATAAAATTGTTATTACTTAATTGCCTTATAAAACGGAGTACATGTTCTAGGTAAATTAGATACACACGGCATTATGACGTGCATCCATTATTTACTCAGTTGGCAAACCGATAAATAGTGCATGCATTCGTGTGTCGGTCATTCAAAGTAGAAATTGCGACGTAATCATTTCTATCTAAACGTGATCGCACCGTAGTAGCGATTTCTCCATTTATTTAATTATAGGTAGGTACCTACGTTCAATTAACTGTGTTAATTATGCATAATGATTATTTGAACTAATTACGGTAGACTTTGTGCCATTCGTTTGCGTGGGTATCTCGGTCTCACCTAACTCATCCACCAAGCAGCTTTCTTTGAAGCCCGTTTCGGTTTGAAGGACAATTTATATATAAAGTCATGTTCGCCTGTATCTCCAGTTTCATAAAAAATCTCCTTGTGAAAATTTGATTTATATTTTCATAAGTCAAAAATATTAAAATAAAATCGTAAAATTACAAGTAAAATATACATCATTAGTTACATTACATTTGATGTTCAACAATCTCATGGACATTAACAATAAAACAAGAGGTATCATTCTGATGTAAATTCAACAAAGAAACCTCTTAGGTTACGTTTCCTTCGAGCTGTATGGTTACCTGTCTGTTTACCCGATAATTTCTGTTTCGTATTTATTACTATTTATCGTACAGATTGCTAATTCCAGCGCTTTCTTTTACATACGAAAATATTCTAGTTTTGTGTCCAGGGCGGTCAATTTTGCATTTGAATATGCATTACCTGTGAGTCCAACCTTCTTGCGGCATACTGCGCACCGGTTCTTTTTCTTTTTATCCTTGCTGGGGTCCTTGTCGTCTGCGTCCGTGTCTGAGGTGCCGGTACTCGCACCACTGGTGCCTGCTCCACTTTCCTCCTCCAATTTCTGCAATAACAAACAACAATATCATAAGTAATTATATTATTTAACCATTCTACTGGAATTATACAAAAAACTAACCCTTCTAAATTACCGATGGAACATCTAACATCTATGCTTGTCCCAAATCCCAAAGAGAAAAGTGATATTACATCTATAAAAAACGGGGCCTGAGGCAAGTTAGAGGATTGAGGGAGATCCAATTACAGCATCTCGCATGATTTGTTCTAATAATAGTGCATTCAAACAATCTCGACTGCACTGACATGTCTAACTTATATCAAAAGATAAGATATCATTTACATTCAAGCGTCAAAATACCGAAAAACGTAGAAATATATTTGTGCATTTTATGGATGAACTATACTTGAACCTTCTTATAGCCTACAGTAATCTCTGTATGGCAAGGCTATGCTATCGTATTCTTAAAATGTAAATATAATACAGTCAATCCCACTAGTCGCATCGTGTAATCTATAATAATACTAATATACCATCATGACTGTAATATCAGATGGAGTAGTCAGAGGTATTATCAATTGTCGGCGTTGTGCTTGAAGTAGCAAGACAAGAATTTCGTTCAGTATATTTGTTCGAATGTGGCACGTGTACCTACCACTGTTATATTTTTTTACTTTCAGAGGCAGTCAGAAATACAAATTGAAACAAAGTTTTTATACATAGTATTGCTTAATAATAGGAGCAAACATGACGATGATACCTACCCAGGCAATAATGCGAAACTTACCTACTTCATTTAAGAATCACCCATTAACATCCCATTATAGGGCGCGGTTCTCTCCCTATACTGTTACCGCGCCGGCCAGATGGCTTGGTACAGGCTTTAATAAGATATGTGCGGTGTGAATTATCTGTTTATAGTACTATAAGATATTCTGTGGTTAATATTCTATACAGCAAAATATAATAATAAAATCAACATACTACAGACTCTGTTATCAGTATGTTCTCGCTAGAGCACATAGAGATTGTAAATATTAATAGCTAACACCTATTGTTTTCACGTCAGCATTGAACAAAGAAAATTTCGCGGACCGTAAATGGTATTTTTTGGAACGATTATACTGAATCCCACCAGCTAACTGGAGAGAAACGAATTAAAAAAAACATCATGCCGCGGAGTACTAGCATCAATAATAATGGTTTGTTGTGTATAACACGATGAATACAAGAAATATATAATAGTATATAACGATGTGGAGCACTTACTACAAGTTTTATACATGTTATAATAGAAATGCGACACCTGCGACAAATACATCGTTCATAGACTTCACGGATTGAATTGTGATTGCCAAGTGATTGCCAAGTGTTCACCGCTAATTGTTATTTTTACCCATACCCATATTCTATTTATTTTATATACAATATCGTAATACATACCACCCATTACATTACTTTATCGTATTACCGTTGAGTGAAGCTATCTATATCTAGGATTAGACAAAGCGAATGATATAGTTCTGATGAAATCAATGATACATAATGTATTACGGTCGTCAGATACATTTGACCCAAAAATATATATTTTATTAGTTAATAATGCCTTTAAACGTAAATCTTCTGTATAGAAGATTTACGTTACGTTAGATATACATCCAAGAAAATTATTAATCTCTAAAAAGCAATATTAGAAAAAAATTGTGCATTGTTAATAGTGGGGAACAGATGAAATTCCGCGTGGTCCTCCCTGGAAACCAACGTTGTTAATTCCTAGTGAATTTACCTTGACCTGACTGCTATCTCTATCTCATTATCATCCACTGGTATACCGTTAGGGCAGGAAGATGTATATACATCTATTAAAACCCCCAAAAGATGTGTAATTCTATTCAATATGAGTTATCGATACCTTACCTAATAGTTACCTAAGAAAGCCGTAATGTAGACAATACCACAAATACTCGTAACGTAACACGAACCCGTTTAAGAGATTTTTTGCCAATATCTGCATCAATATTGCGCTCGTTTCTCTCAAGTTCCGCAGAAGTTTTTGATCTGACATCCTTATTAGATACAGTAGACTCGTCGTAAATCTCATTCAGGTCTTCATGTATCTCGACAACTTTTTTCAATTTCATTACATTAGAAGGGCCAGAGAGAGATATTATCTTCCCTTCTATCTTATTCTGTTCTGTACCACTATACTCAGGATTCTCTATGGTACCGTCTGGTGTGAGTAACGGAGTGCTCTCATTTATTTCAATAGGTAGACGCTTATTTTCAAAACTTTTGGATCGTGACACACCAATATCGGTTTCTAAAGTAGAACTTTGACTATTATTACTGGATTTGCTATTACGTCGTATTGCTTTCTTAAATATCCGCTTCCCTCTGGATTCTTTTTTACTAGGGTCATTTTCCATAATTAAAAGTTTATGTTAGATTGGACATTTTGACTGAAAATCAAAATTATACCAAGTAAGATCCCGAGACATATGACAAGATACATTAATAGCATCTTCTTACTTCATGCTTAGTTAGTCCAAATTAAGTAAATCGTTTTGTAATTGCATGACTATGTATTGGTGGGATATTGCTAAATGTGATATTGATCAAACTTCTTTGTAATTAACATTCAAGCAGCCAATAATAGATGCAATTTGTGAATTGATTAGCTAATTAAGATGCTATCAACATACTTGTCCCGTTAACTGAGATTTGTACCCCACCTGAGGCAACACACGTTATTAGCAACAATTAGATTGCATAAAATAAATAAAATATGTATAATTTACCACATTTCATAATGTATAAGAGCCCCCCATCTCAATTAGTAGATTTGGGGGAAAAAGTATTAAAAAAGTAACAAGTTAAACATAATTGGATCACAAATATTTTTGTCGTGTTATAATTTTAATATACAAAATGCAAATATTCGAAGTTCTGTACAAAATGTCTATTTGACAATTAATTCTTATTTTAAATAGTCATTATTTACTGACACGAGGTCTCAAAAAAGTTTGTACAACTGAATTATTAACTTTGGTAAATTATAAATATAATATTACATATCTATATATATCTTGTATTACCAATAATATACAAATAATTTTAAGATTATAGAATTAAAATCTACTTTATAACAAATCAACGAAAATAAGGTTTTATGTCTTGGTTACATAAATTTCGAAATGAGTGGTTCATAAAATATTTTAGAATTGCATCGGCTAACACATTAAAATATAGAAGGAAGGTACCTCAGGAGGTTTAAACTGACCTATCAAGGTCTGAGAGACAGCGTACTGTTACAGAGCAGACTCTGGAAACGTCAGCATAGATATTTATTACTCAGTTTCTCCTACATATTTTTCTTTCTTTCTTTCTTCTTTCTACCTACCTCGTAAAGGATCTGATGAAGATTATTTTTACGTACAACACAAGTACCAATTATAATCGTCGAAAACGACGTTATATCAATTAATTATATCAATACCCATTACCTACTAGAATTAATAGCCGACAATGTCACTTTGGATTATAAACATGAGCATATTTATCTTTTTACTCATATATTACACTTTTTATTTGCAATATAATAATACATATTAAGAATTTATGTTTTCTATGTAGATATAATATACACGGGATTAATTAATCCGTTTATCTCGAGTTTTAGTGAATGTACAACCATTGTTGAACTTTGCCACTCATTATTTATTCAAACTGCTACTTATCAGTAGAAGACATTATGAGTTAGCTATAAATTAGATAAAAGAATGTAAGAGTTTTTATACTCGAACGTAGTTACTGGATTTGAGTTAATTTGAAAATACTATGAAATCTTCCATTTATGTTATGTGTTAACTAATTAGTCAAAGGTTATCTATGCCTACAGATGATACCTGATGAAGCTTAGACGAATACACAGCTTTTAATTTTTAATATTAGTATTAGCAGTGTGCCATAAACAAATGGAATTCCACAAATAATGTTCCTATGTCCGAGACTAGATGGCGTTGTCATATATCTCAGATATACCTGTGCTTTAGAGGATTTATATGAACATTATATTAATTATATTTATTTCAGAGTTCATTTGTGTTCATCAATTATGTATCTTGTAACACCGGGTAATCATACTTGATACTGAAAAACATTAAATTACTTCAGCTGTTATGTAAAACATACTAATTAGGTAAATCACAGTGGTCAATTAAAATAGAGCAACGCAATATCGTAAAACTTTGTCGACCTTCTTATCATAATGACAGAAAGGTGTGCAATAAACGAAACGCGTCATTCAAACATATAGAAAACGATATCTAGTTTTAGTTCTTGAAAAATCCCCTTAGAATTTTAACACGCTGTTAGAAGCGTTGCCAAAGTATTCTCAAGTTGCCAAGACACTACTTCGATGTACATAAAATACAAGCCACTTTATAATTATAGAATAAAACAGTTACTAGTGAAAACATGTCTATTAATAATCTGATATATTAACTACTAACTACTACGCCGCATTCGAAAGTGAGTGAATCATCATTCATTACAGATTTACAGCACATCTAATGTCCAATCCTAACTGAGTATTCTCAAAAATAATACGCGAGTAAAATAATTATATGCAATGGAATTTCAACGAGATTCATTAATTTATTAATTTTTTAAGTAAACATTTTTCATTATAAAAATGATTACCAAAACTTAAGTATTTTAACCACAAGTAATAGTCATATATATAATATAATTTTAATTTCAATAGTAAGAATTGGAAGAATAAAATGTGATATTGTTTAATACGTGATGTTACTGTGTAGTACGTAGTATCTTTATACTATATATAGTCCAAAATAAAGTCACTTCCAATATCTATTCGCTTAGATCTTTTAAACTACGCAACGGATTTCAATGCAGTTTCTAACAGTAGATAGAGTGATTCAAGAGGTAGGTTTATATGTATAATATGTGTACATCCGTGAGAAGCTGGGACGGGTAACTATAAATACATATTTTTAAATAATTATTATCAAAGCCCTTACAAATCTTAAAAACACCTAACAAAAGTGGCTGTGGTTATTACTAATGTATTGTGATAACTTTACCTAAAATTTAATTTCTATTTTATTCCAAACCGTTTAAAAAGTTTATACTACTGTTTAGAATAAGAAGACGCGAGTTCACCTAGCAATAGTATTTATTAATATATTTAGATACTAATATATTTATATTATATGCAAGTAAAAGAAAAGTACAATAACTAATTTTGTATTCATCATACACAGGTCATTGTTCTATATTTACAGCATCCTATTAAATACAATGTAATCATTTTACTGTTATTCCTGATCAACGGTAACAATACATATTTGTTTTCATAATGTTGAATTTATTAAATTCGAATAATTATTGCATAATTCTTACGACTTATCTTGTAAATTTCTATTATCTGAAATGTCTATAATCCATACTCCGTTTTCACTTTTCGCTAGTGACAACGAAATGTGATAAGATACAACTGCGGCAATAAATATCTATTACAATGACATAAATTATTATATTATTAACATTTCTTTCAATATTGTTATAATCACTACCTAAGTCTAATTACTTCTCATCATCCTAAGGTTGCCGGGAAGAGATCGCTTTTTACCGATAAGTCCCCCCTTTGTTGCCGCTTTGTCTTGTTTATTTTTATGTTTTTTTATCAATTTATACACAATTGTGTATGTAACTACATTTACTGTGACAGGAACAACAAATTAGTTACATTCATTCATATAAAATTTTTTTGAAAGAAATAATGCAACTATACAAATCTTCGTGAATGATTAGTACCGTGTATATTAAGTAAATGAATGTTGTAGCTAGTTATATTTAGTCCTGTTCCACTCACTTGTGTTGTAAATATGATAAAATGTATCTGTTGCGTTAATAGTACGAATGGAAACAACACTTGAAGTCTGTTAGCTATTCACTGTGTACAGTATGTACGTCATACGTCCGCCCACCGAGAGCTGTATCGCGACATTACCGCGTATTTGTGAACAAATAAAGAACATAATTTCACGCATTACATACCTGTATATAGATAGAATTATCTTACGCCTACATATAATCAATGAGGCCAATAAACAGAAACTGAGATCATTGTAACCATAAATTATATACCAAATTCGAATTAGGCTAATAAAGCAATGAATAACCTTATAAGCCACATATTTAAACATCCAATGATAGTAAATAGGACGCTGTAAACAATTCTGTTAATAGTGAACACTACAAGTCCAGTAAAAAGCAAAATTAAAATAGAACAACAATGTATTCTCCATTTAATACCAACAACTGCAATAAAACGAAGTGTATTTCGTAGTAAGATATGTTAATATACATAATTTATAGGTAAACATAATGTGTGCATAGTTAAGCGAAGTTCTCAATGCCATCGATAGCGCAGTTGTATGTGTAAATGGAGACGATTTTGTGAATGTTCACACTCTTAATTAACGTATGTAATCTATTAATGTTAATTTATTGTACTCATATACATAGTCCCGGAAACGGCTCTAAATATATGTATAAAAATACAGACTTCGTAACGTTGTGATTTTTATATAAGTTTATAAAATGGACTTCTCAAAACGACAAAACACTTTAGAAAAATATAAAACGTCGAACACAATTCGGTCACCCAAAGATGCATTATTTCTATATAATATATGAGATACCTAGTCATACAATATTTGGGAAAAAAATCGTAAGGTCAAACAAATCATCTCAAAATTATACGTATAAAAATTTCGAGCGACTATATGACATTTGTACCACCAGACTTGGATTCTGCGTCGGCTTATTTAGTCATGACGTTATTTAGAAAACCATCGCGATAGCTTCAACATAGGACTGACGCCATTGATAATTTCCCAATCAACTAAAATTACCCAACGCATCAGTGTGAACGGTTCGATAGACTTATAAATTAAAACCAGTTTGCTATTTTCACGGAACTGCGAAGAGACTGCTTTCGTCATATACTAAAGATTACAATCCAAATGCAATCAATTAACGATTAAATAAATAAATATGATAAATATATTTTAATATACTTTTCAAAGAAAATGGTGACAGAGAACATAATTTTTTTATTTCAGTTCTACGTTCTAGAAATTGTTGTATTATCTACATTCAGTAATTAAATGTTGGCTAAACAACAACAAAAATATTTTAATAAATGAGTAATGATTAAAATGTTTTTGTTGTTGTTTTAATAATGTTTTCACTTACAAATAACACATAATACCCCTGGACAATTCACACAACGTCACAGAGCTATGTTATGGGTACTAGAGCTATGTTATAGGTACTAGACAACTGATATAAATATTTAGATATAATTTTTTTCTAGAAATACATACATAATATACATAGAAAACACTCAGACCGATACTGCTTGTATCATACTTATGAAAACAAATATTCAATCTGCGCGCGAAATCGAACCCGTGACCATCGGAAGTAAAGCGCTGTGCTAAACCTCAAGACCACCGAGGCCTTCTATCTTATTTACAAACATTTTGTTTCCGCATTAGTAACACCTGTGTGCGTCATAGTAACAAATATGAAAAATGGGGGGGAACGGTGACTGTTAGTAATGTAGATTGATGTCACATTGCTAGCAATGTACCATGTCAGTTTAACTCCATGCGATACCCCCTGGAAACCAACGTGATAAATTCCTGGTGAATTTGTCACGATGGGCTAACTGACCTAAACTCATGCTCATCCTATCATCCACTGGTGCCCCGCCTGCGTAAACCGTTAGCGAAGGCGGGTGCAACATTCCAATATCATCATCTAAAAAAAATGTAAAAAATGCGGCCTCACGTCTGTATGTGTTTGCTGAGCTGGCAGAGTCGGTACTGTGGGCGCAGCGGCCGCCAACGGCGTCGGCGCGGCTGGCACGAACGGCGCAGACACCGGCGACGGCGTCGTCGCTGGTGGCTGCTGCTTCTTCTTCAGTGCCTCCTGGAACACATACGTTTTACATTGTTTTTTTTTTATATACTATGATGGTGGCTAGCAATCATACGGCCCATCTGATGTTAACCGGTTACCGCAAATTATGTACGCTTGAAACCTGGGGTTGTTACGTGCCTTTTGCTGACCCTTAAGAACCCATTATTGTAAAATCAATGTATAAATAAATATCATTAGAGCTGACAAACATCAATAAGAAATTTAATTTTTCAGTATCTATTAAAAGAAAGACTGAAAGGATATTGTTTACAATATCTTCACAAGTTTCAATATATTTCAAAGGTTGTCTAATATGATTACATGTTTAATCATAGGTATTAACATATACATATTTGTAACATAGAGAGCAATGGAATAAACCCATCCAATCAAACTTTATACGAATAAATTAGTGTTTAAAAAAGCAAGCGTCAAGGTATAGTAAGTGTAAACGGAAAATCATTTAAGATAAATTATACGATCTCTGTATCACGTGTAGTTGGAGCTGGACCAAGACAATGAACTCCCAACACCTTATAATTTCACATAAATAATATTTTTTTTATATGTAAACTACATGAGGTTTTACTATGTTGTATTGATGTTTGTTGTAATAAAAATATAGGTTCCAAGACCAAATGTCCAATGGCAGATATTTCATAAGACGCTTTCAGGTATTATATGATCTAATAGGCTATAATAACCTTCCAAGCAGTTTTAGCTGATTTTTATTGCACACCATTAGCAAACGCCCGTGATGTCGACCTATATATATATGTACCTAGTAGTAATTAAGACAATAAATATAGCCAATAGACAATAATATTTTACTACAAAATAGTTGGTTTCTTTCGCAAACATTATATAAAATACAGGCCAAGACAATTTGAAGAAAAACCATACTGTATGATATGAGCTGCCTTTATATTTCATATTCAAGTAGTGACCCGTCCCGGCTTCGCACGTATGGATTACAAATCTTTGAATTTCTCAGTTTGTTCTATACTATAACACGCATATAAGCCTTCCTCTCGATTCACTCTATCTATTGCTGAAATCGGCATTAAAATCCATTGCGTAATTTAAAAGTTATAATCGAACAGACACAGGCGGCAACTTTGTTTTATACTATGTAAATATTTATATCAAAAGTAACTTTTACACGCAGTTTCATAATTTTATTTTGCCGTATTAACGGCACATTTTTTAAATGAGAGTGTTCACACGACGCCGTGATAAATGGCGTGGTGTGGCGAGAAATTCACAGCCGACCCGCGTCGACGCAGGAGAGATTGCTCTCAAGGCGTCACCCAAATCTCATACGAATAATCCAAACAATCCAGGCCACAGTTGGGTGAAGTATATTTTTTTAAATCAGCCGTAGTACATAGTTTTTAAAAACACAGGACCTTTTGCATTCTACTTATAAAATTTTATGTACAGTGAGCCATTATCGTTCCCTTGTCTAGTTTCTTATTATGGTACACATAAAGTATAATAGTTTAGCAATGCAATTTGTTAATAAACTGGTTTATATATGGTTTATTTACCACTACATATTAAATAATATTTATATTGCTTGTTGGAAATTAAATTTATTATCAAGGTAATGGAAAGTATAAAAATAAACCATTCATAATACCATAAAGAGGCAAACATCCAACAAATATAGTCTATTCGTCGCAGTTTTGATTTGAATTGAATTCGAATCTGTTAAACAGTTGTGTTCCAATTTAGTTCTCAGGTGAAAAAATATCCTTGTCATTGAGCCGAATGCACATTTTAAATTGTTTCTGTTTTGAGTTGGGTTCCCAAAAGTAGGGGGGAATTCTAGTAGCAAAGATTAGTAGCCAAAGCCAAAATAAACCTTACGTTGGTAGATATAAGGTATAATTTGATTAAATTTCAGTCCATCAGTATTTGTAAAGCTGTATTTGCAGGTATACTCATAATATATCACGATGGGCTAATTGACCTGACCTCGTGCTTCATGTTATCGTCCTCCACTGATGCCCCGCCAACGTAAACCATTAGCGCAGGCGGGTGCACCATTACATTATCAACTATTAAAATAAAAATACTCATAATACAATCTCTTATCATCAGGCGGGCCATGTGTTTACGACATTAAAATAAAGTTTTCAAGATACGTATCGATAAAATATAAATTCATTATTACAACTGTGAATTATTAGTTTCATTTGTTGGCATACATTTTAGTCCATTCGTCAGTGTATTTGATATGACGCAATTAGATAACACGAGTGTTTCAAAGCAACATTATTTACGTATTCCAATTATAGGTAAATAGGCAAATTAGAATTGCGACGCTGAAAACTATGTGACGTTTTTTAAAAGTAAATACGTAATATAGTTTTCAATTAAAGTATGCTTCTTTTATGTAACTGGAGTGTTGGATAGTGGCGACCGCAAATTATCCTTATTAACATTACCACAGACATCGTCATATGGTGTCCACCATGAATTGCCATTTTTTAGAACTATGTAAGGTGTGTGTAAATCGATAGAAAAAGGTGAAACAGGGATTCTTATGCAAGCAGACTTCATACAAAATCTATCTATGTATGTAAGTTATTTATCATTATTTCGCCTATAAAAATACGCTAACTCATTGCGGAACACAATATGATTGTAGGACTGCGTACACAGGCGTTTTCTACAAATTATTACTTCACTTTAACCACAGACCACCACCATACAGAGTGAAAGCTATGATCATTCTAGAAATTTGTGACCGTTGCAAAGGAACGTGATAACTATGAACAGCAAGTTGTTATCAACGTTTAAATCTTTATAGAGGCCTTGTTCATAATATTTTTGGTCAGTCTAACAAAATAGAACCTATCAATGTACAATACCATAATATAATCCTATACACCCCATAAATTGAAAATGACCTTAACTATTACGTATAACGAGCAAGTTTACCTCGCCTCTACATAAAAGGGTTTTACTTCCCAGATATTCACTTCCGTAATGACTGTACTTTCAAGACTTAAAGATAATGATGTTTGGTATAAATGATACTGGTGTTCTTTTTGGTTGTTATTGAAATTAAAAATTCTAGTTCTATAGAGAAGATTGTGTATATAAGAAAAATGATGTAATTTAAGAGATTTTATATAGATTTATCATCATTATCACTTCTTATCACAATCAATGTCGGATCATCGCACTGTTTGTGTATAATAAGTACACATATTTATTATAAATATATCAACGTTCCACGTTCGTCTCCTGTAGTTCACCATTTATATATAAATAAAAACAATAGTAAATAACCCTAGACAATGAACACAGCGCCATCTAGTTACACAGTAGCCGAGCTTGTGTTATGGACACTAGACAACTTTTTTTGTAAATTATGTATTTATAATATACATAGAAAACACCCAGACCGATCAAACAATCCCACTCATGAAAACAAATATTTGCACCGTGCGAGGAATTGTAGCCGCGACCATCACCGAAATAAAGCGGTGTGCTTAACTAGGCCTCAGTAGAAGTGGATACGGGATGCAAAAGATTTTCCTTCGTTTCAGCTTCAGCGTTAAGTCACAAATTTCCAATAATGGCAACAAAATATTACAAATGCACCGGTAACAGAATATATGGTAATTTCCAGGCTATAAATTTGCACAATTATTTCTAGGTCTTTTCCTATTAAACATGATGGACATGATGTAGTTATTATTGTAGCAAATCTGCCGTACCTAACCATGACTACCTCCTATTGTCGGTATTCGTTACAATCGTGTTGCCACGCCTGTCGTGAGTATTAGTACCGATCCCTAGAAATAGCAATTCACAAGAGGAAGCGACTCGACTAGTAAATATTTAATTGATTTGTGACAAAAAATTTTTATAAACGAACAACTGCGACAGTAACTGCCGACAGGCGAATACAAATCATGATATATATAATATATACTTTACCTACTTTGATGTTTAAAAGTGGCACATTAAGAAAAAAACCTTAACCTTATGACTTTGGGTATAACCCAAATTAATAATTTAAATATAAAAAGAATCTTAAATAATATACAAACGTATTTATTAAATATGACACTTAATATAAATACTAGATGATTATTGACTACTGTATGGTTAACGTGACCATTTATTCTTTGACTCAAAACGGGACATTTATTTATATGAATTAATAGACAGTCAATAAAGGAAACAATTTATTAAAGGTAATTCTTTAAAAAAAAAGTATTACCCCCGCAAAAAGGGAGATGTAACATATATAAAAGAATAATAATAATTAACTCTTTATTGTGTGCACAAAATAAACAATAAGAAAATACAGTAAATAGAAAGGTAATTACAATAGGCAGTCTTAACGCTATGCAGTCTCTTACAGATACCCTAGAAGAGATATATCGTCGATTAAATAGAAAAATGACATTTTTCAAAGTCTATTAAATTAACCACGACGTCTTAATCATTATCTAAATACTTTTAAAGTGATATATAACACTTTTGAGTAAATTTAAAAATTTAAAGGAAAAAATAATTTACATTAATTTAAAAACTTTAATTGCTTGTCTACAAGACAATATAAAAATGACGTTTTTATATATTCACCTTAATTATCAACAATAATCTACATCACAACCGGCCCGCTCGACTAAACATATTTTCACCGAGTTTCCAAAAACGGGACAATTTTGCGTCCCAGAGTTAATTTCGGGGACACCGGGACTTGTTGTTATAAACAGGGACAGTCCCGTTTAAAACGGGACGTCTGGTCACGTTATGTATGGTGATGTACGCTTGCGATGATAAAGATGTCACTGGCTTAGTTTGCGCATACTTTAATTGTATTAAACTCATACGAAAATCTAATTCTTACTACTACTATAAATGAGAAAGTGAATTTGTTAGTTCTTTTAATTAATTAGTTCTTGGTAGCTTGACGGTTATTTATGTCCTATGCATGGACACTCCTATATTTATTTATGTTCTAGACTTCATTATAAAATAACTTAGCACATATTAAGCGGTTGTGAGTCGGTATTTTTAGTATTGTATACCAAAATTAAATAATTTTTGCCAAGTATCAAATTTTCACAAAATAAGTTATATAAGATTCTGTAGTAACCATAGTTAATATAAAAATAAATTTCAATAAAATAAAACACAGGCTTACCTTAAAACAGACTGAGCAGAGCCCATCCGTGGATGGGTTGCCATAGAACCCGCAGCCCGAGCGGCACAAAGCCTCCATTGGATTCGATTCACGCTCCATTGTTCCTAAAAAAGTTTCACTCGAGTGTAACAACAAGTCTAATCACTTCACTTGTAGTCAACGGTACGATTGCACTAACAGTATGTATTGCACTTGTTTGTCGTAACACAATGTCTCACAATAATCACAGTACAATGTGCACTAAGAAACGTTTTCAATTTAGAAGATGCCTATCTCTGGCTCGCTGTGTCGACGGTAAGTGGCTTTCCTTGCCAATGAGCTGAAATTATTCCTTCTATGTCAGGATCGCAGAGGTCCCTGCAAACAAAACAAAATAAAACATTTAATAAAATCCATTATATTGTCATTTAAAGAGGTAGTTTCTTTTTAAGGGGTTTTCAATCCGTCTAGACGTATGGTACAAATTAAGGAACTGATATTCACTGCCTTATCATTTGGACTTAATTTTACCATAAACATATATTTACGCAGTATATTTATATAACCAAAGGAACAAAGAATTGCCTGTAAGTATTACAACTTTACTTTATTTCGCAATAAACACACATTTCTTAAATACGTTGCATATTTATACAATAATGGAAATGCATACACAGAGTGAATGACGATGAATGGCGTACGCCACCTGCAGGAAACGGTAAGTACGATAGAAAGTGGCATCTGGAAGCAGAATACGATTTCGTAGAGGCAAAACATAATATGCATAACGACAGGTTTGCGTAACAAGAGAGAGCTATACGGGCAAAAGTGGAACGCGCCCGCGAAACAGAGTACCCGTGTTGCCCCGCGCCAAGGTCGGCTCCTACATAGCGGTTGCAATCTAATGCCAACCGGAAAATGCGTTTAAAGAATTCACCTAACAATAATAAAATAGTCTGTGCAAGACTATATACAATTAAGGGGTCTACCCTCTTTAGACGGGCAAAGATAAGGCTATTTTCACGAATTTTTTTGACCGGTATACGTCATAAATATGGACATAAAAAGTGTTAGGCCTAAAAAATACACTATTTGATTATACAAGAAAATTTTTTTTATATTTATTTTAATCAGTTTTTATACATAAAAATGAGGGAGAAGACTGGTCCAAAAAAAAAGATGAGTGTGCGCTGTTGATGAAATATCTGGAATGGATGATCTGAAAAAAAAAAATAATAGTTTTAGATTCAGTAAGTAAATGGCTATAGCGCATATCATACGATTTTTTTTTTTAAAAAAAAATGACAAAATGGCAGCTATTTTTCGAAAAAGTACGAAAAATCACGTTTTTTTCGTCGTTCTTTACCAAAAATAAATAGTTAAACTCAAAATTTCAAAAATCGTATGATATACGCTATAGCTATAGTCATCAAGAACATGTGGTTAAATTTTGGTAAGGTTCGGTTGAATAGTTTCGGAGATTTTATCAACAAGCCGTCCAAAAACATCATTCCGAGAAAAACGCGTTTAAAGTTTTCTGTAACGAAAAATCGTGAAAAAATCTTACTTACGTCTAATCAGCGATGTCTGCACCATACATTATGCCTTCATCTTCTTCATAGTGCACATTTTCATCCAAAATAGCCTGCCTTCGTTTCGTTCTGGCTTCCTTAGAGACATCGGTGCTGCGGCGGTTTGCAACTCGTATGCGCGTTCTGTCACAGTCAGCAGCAAACTGTGCGGCGATCGGGCCGATTTTGACGCCCATTACTTCCAAGATTTTTAATACTGGATGAAATCCTTCGTTAAAAATACAAGCAGCTGTTTGACAAGCTATTTCAACAATTTTTTTCCGCAAAAGATGTGTTTGGGAGCCATTGACCAGACACAGTTGTTGAAAGATTCGTTATTATTCTGCGTGTTGCCACCGAGGCATCTTTCAAGCAGTTCTTGTTTTGTGAAATCGTCGTAGATCGGTTTTAAAACTTCTCGCTGTCCATACTTTGTAAAAGAAATATCTTTATCACAAGTTTTACACTTTAAATACTCTTGCAACGTAGAGAAAACCAGGAAAAACTGTATAATACTGTATCCCGACGTTTGATCCACGTGTACGTCGAAACTGGTATCTTCCGATTGTTGTAACTTCGACGCAGATGCACTAGCATAACTTGTATTTGCCTCGTGGTCATGTGGAAGCACTCCATGAAATTTCCGCTTTTTCGGCTTCGAACCTGGACGTCTCCACTTAGCAGTTTGATTAACACTTTTCTTGTCCATTTCGGTAATCACGAGCACAGATACTGACGGTTGAATTTTTCAAATACGACTAATATAGGGAGAAATTCTAATGGAACGTTATCTAAAGGCCGTACCGCTCCGAGCGGTCCGCATATTAGCGCGCTCAGGTAGCTACGTAAACATCGTCCAAAAGTACAGTTAGACTGCTCGGATCTTTATAAATTTTCAGTATGATACTTTTAAATATGTATACTTTCGAAAAATACAAAAAAAAAATTCGATTTTTTCAAAATTCTAAATAGGGTAGACCCCTTAAAGCATTACAGTACTAATTTTAATTCAATTCGGTTGCATAATGTAATCAACTATATGAGTAATAGAACATCATTAACAATCCCTTACAATAAATAGCAACTAAGAATTAGACAACGAGGAAAGTATTAATAACTTTAAATTCACTGTCGTTAAAGGATTAACTAGGTCATCATTACTTTTGGCAAAAAACCTGATTCGAAGATTAAACAAATCAGCCAAAAAAAATAGTAGTTGATGGCCTAGTTCTCAGGATGGGTACATCATGCATAATATTATTTGATAAGCAGATATCACGGGTCAATACCAGAGCTCCATTTCTTGTACCCCTATGATTTGCGATTATAATCAATGCCAACCAGTATATAATCGCACTGATTACGCCGCCACCCGTTAGCGCAACCTCGCAGCTATGTAACTTTATAGTCTATATACATTATCAGCTCTGATTTCCTTTATGTTGAATATGAAACGGCGTAAGCATATTGGATGATACATTATTATCAATTCACAATATCCGTTATACATGTGAGCGAAAATTTAAAATCCGATGACGAAACGAAGACGATAAACAATATTTTACGACGATAAAAGTATCAAAATTATGTTATCTTGATACAGTACTTTTCTTTTTACGAAAACAAACTCGAATACTTCCAAACAATAATAATTGACGCAAAAAAACATGATTCACTTTTAGTTTCCCAATGGTTGCATCTAAGTACGTGCACTAATTACTAATTATTGCAATAATAAATCTACGGAGTGGAGAACGCGCCTCGGCGAGGTCATTAGCATTGGGCATGTATGGACTTGGGAGAGTCATCGACCGGGCAACACGCAGGGGTGCGAATGCAAGGCGTCGGCGCCTGCGCACGCCACCGCTTCATTAACTACTCCGCTGCACTGAACTAGCGCTGGTCATGTTCAAGTTACAGTCCCAGCAGCACAAAGTCCAGTTACACGGGCACAGTACGTGACGAACATGCCCTTGTTAGACACGTGTAATTCAAAAGAATCTGCTTACTACGCTCCACGGAATGTTTACGGAGGCTATGGGGCATTTACAAACGACTCGTTAATGTATATTAACTATTTAGTAATGGGCCTTCGTTATATTACACATCCTTTCACATTGAATTTGATACAATCATTATATTTTATTACCATTAAAAAATTCATATAAAATTCCGTTACTAAAATCATTTCAAAATAATGAAATTTTGTATTACGTACGTATTAATGAATAGGTTTCATTGCATTTTATAAGTATATTTCTTGAACACAATGTTATTAAATGAGCTCGTTTTCCCAAACATTGTTTATATTAATATTAAAACTGAAATTTTATAGTGTGTATTTACAATATTATTATACATTTTTTACAGGCACTTTGAATCGGCAAATCATTGTGGCCTAAGTCCAATGATAGCAACTAAACGATATCAAAGTTACACACTCGTGCAAAACAAGGCGAACTTCGGAAATAGTTTAATATTGTAACTATAGACTTATTTAAAAGATCTCTAAGAGCGAAAAGTGTCATATTACTGTAATTATCTTCTCCATACATACATTTAATTTTTTATTTGGTAAGGTAAAAATCGCAACCATATCCAAATCATTGGTATTTCAATCATGCTAATATTTGAAGTGAACGCAACATATTTCATATTTCTTATAAATTTTGTTGTAGTTTGAACAATATTTCGGCGATGGGGAAGACATTATTAGTGAATCAGGTGGACCTAAACGCGCTGCCCTTTCAGAAAACCATGATGGTTAAAATCTTGGTTAATTTGTCACAATGGATGGTCATCCATTGTGAAAAATCGTCCTCCTAAGTACTCTGCTAGCGTATACCGTTAACGCATACAGAAGCCATTCCACACTATTGAAAAACAAAACTATAGATGATATCGTACCACAAAGAGCCAGTCGCTCTGACATTTGTAATTTAATATATTAAGTATAAGTACGTATATAAGGTTGTTGTTTCACTTAATTCTGTGAACACTGCATGAAAGCAGCGTTACAATTAGTGACTCAGGATTCGATCCAAATAACCAATGAGTCATGCTATTGAGACTAGATAGTCACTCCATTCCATGATTATTCGTCTGTATGAGGATATGTGAATATAACGTTCAGGTACAAAGAAAAATATTTGTTTTATGAATTTATGAGTGACTAGCTATTTCCCGCGGCACTGTCCGCTTGTACCGCAAGCAGACAGTGCCTAATAATATTAAAAATCATTCTAGTATTTTGAGTTTAGCCATTACAAATAAATATACAAGACAGTTCATTTCTACAATATACTAATATTGTAGAAAGTGTATTGTGTACTAACACATGAATAGAAAACTACATGGTTAATTACTATTAATATATTGCTGAAATTAAATAATTTTAATTCCACAGAGATTTCAACTGATTTGGTCAATAAACGGGCATAATTTTTGCAACAGCACTGGCAAAATTTAAAGGCACACAATATTACTACGAAATAAGTATGCCAAGGCGAATATCAACAGCACTCGGCCAGTCGGAAACGTGATGTTCAATTATAGCATTACGATAGTAGCGATACAGAAACTCTATTGCCAAATTAACGTTATTGGTTGAGAATAGAGTTGAATTGATTAAATCTAAAATCTATTATGTCCGAGGTGAGGATGTTCTCACGAAGTTCTCGTTTAATTTGTTGTTTTACGGTCGAAAATTAAGGGAAGTTATAAAATCTGTTATATTCAGAATTATATTGTAATCATTAGAATTAACATGAATCATTATTCTAGTAATAATGATTTACCTCCAACCAG